GGGGCTAGGGAAGGGTAAGTGGAAGGAGGTGAGGGAGGAATGGGGTACGAGCCCCCGATGGGGAGGACTGCGGGCTTCTGGAGGTGGAAGCTCTCCTGCAGCCCCCCAAATGACCCTCCCCTCCCCCCGGAGGGCTGCCTGCGGCAAGTGCAGCCGGTCTGATGGCCGAGTGCTGTGATGTGCCCAGTGTGGGCACTCAGGGCACTCCAAGCCAGGACTGCTTTGCAAGCGGGGCACCCCTGAGAACTGTCTGTCCGGGGTGGGGATCGGGTACCTTTAAGCACAGCCCTCGGCTAGCCTGAGGCAGCAGCTCCACGCTCTAAGTCCTCATCTGATGCCCTGCCGGCACTGCTTCCGGCCATCCTTAACCCCGGTTCAGGGTCCCCTTAATGTGGACATGCTAGTTCGAATTAGCAAAATGCTAATTCGAACTAGTTTTTTAGTCTGGATCCGTTAGTTCGAATTAGCTTAGTTCGAATTAACTAATTCGACCTAAGTTAGTTCGAATTAGCGCTGTAGTGTAGACATACCCTTAGTCTACAATAGGGATGCTGGTCAATTTCCTTGTGTTGACAAGTTCTTAGGTTATATCTACACTCCCCACTATGTCCCCAAAACTTAGATCACTCAAGGATAACTCATAGCATGCACAGCACTATATTGGTGAGAAAGCTTCTCCCTCCACTTATCAGGGATAGATTAATTATGTCAACTGGAGAGCTCTCTGCCTTCAGCAGAGCAGCTCCGCGAGCAGTCTTACACCAGCACAATGGCATCAGTACTGCTCCACCACTGTACGCTCTCTAGTGTAGACATAGCCCAAGTAACACAAGATTATCTGATCATAAGTACTGTTCATGAATATGAAAAACTGAAATTCTAAAGCAAATATCCATAATGGTCATAACAGTCTACAAAGCCACTAACATAACTTTTGATCTAATTACATGAATCCTACTAATATAAGCCCTCCAGATTGCAATTTAAGATCTGTTAACTCTTCATGTTATTTTATGCAATCATAGGACATCCATCAATTTAGTACTCAGGAACAATTTTAATCAGCAAACAAGAATTCACAGAATTAGAGGACATATACAGACATTTATATCATATTCAGAATACAGTCTATTATTTTTACTACAACATTAACAGGTGATCTTGGATGATTTCTGATAAAATAGAGAATTTTCACTGCTGCTGCTACCTATCAGCCACAACCCTGGTAAGAAAAATGGAGCATTTCAGAAACAGAAGTTTCAGAATCCCAAATCTGTACTCCAGGTGCAAAGATGGAAATAATCAGACCTGAGGAGGAGGAGAAGAGAAATGGAAAAGCTGCCTTGGGGAGGCAGTCACCAAGAAGCTAGCTGGAGTGGGTGGAAATAGTTTAGCGTGTTTCAAGGACCAGAGAGTTTGAAGTAACAGTGAAAGATTTTAGGAAGCTAAGAAAGCATGAGAGGTTTTCAGGCACACGGAAGAAGCTGCAGGGGAAAGGATAGTTTTAGATATATTTGAAAAGTGGAGAGGGCACTAGGAAAGCCAGGAGGTGGGGAGCCTAAGGGGATGAAAGACACTGAAGAAGACTGGGAAGGTGGTAGGAGATAGGGAAGGAAGGGGAGAGGCAGAACAGAGGGGCACTTAGGAATCATAGGGGGTACTGAGGAAGCCAGGGCGGGAGATAGGAGCCAGGAGGAGCAGATGGGGATACTGAGGAAGCCGGGGTGGATATGGGTACTGAGAAAGCCAATCTGCCCCTCTTGGCTCCCACCTCGCACCCTGGCTTCCTCAGTACCCCAAGTGGGAGGTAGGAGCTAGGGGGTGGATAGAGGGTACTGAGGAAGCCAGGGTGCGAGGTGGGAGCCAAGAGGGGCAGATTGGCTTCCTCAGTACCCCAAGTGGGAGGTAGGAGCTAGGGGGTGGATAGAGGGTACTGAGGAAGCCAGGGTGCGAGGTGGGAGCCAAGAGGGGCAGATTGGCTTCCTCAGTACCCCAAGTGGGAGGTAGGAGCTAGGGGGTGGATAGACGGTACTGAGGAAGCCAAGGTGAGAGGTAGAAGCCGGGAGGGGAGAAAGGAGGGCAGATGGGGGTACTGAGGAAGGCAGGGCAGGAGTTAGGAGTTGGGGAAGGGAGCAGAGTGGCTTCCCCCGGACCCCGAGTGGGGGGGGGGGGCGAGGGGGGAGAC